GATACATATTATGAAGGCCGTTCCAAGCACTTATCATCAGCTTGTGCGTTTCCCGACAGCCCATGGCATTGAAGAGATCTGTGGCTCCCCCCAATCGGCACAAGCAAAGATTTAATGAAAACCCTATCATTGACCCGACCTGTGGGCTTTGATACTTGTATATATATCACTCTGCAATGCAAACCATTTTGCTTCGTGACTCCATTCATTTCTCAACGCCCCCTTTGGTGCATGACACCTTAGGGCCGATTAAAGTCTCCGGATTCGGAGCCCCCTTTGGTGCATGACATCTCAGGGCCGATTAAAGTCTCCAGACTCAGAGCGCCCTTCGTGGATATCACGATTGGCCAAACTAAGTCTCCGGATTCGGAGCCCCCTTTGGTGCATGACACCTTAGGGCCGATTAAAGTCTCCAGATTCAGAGCGCCCTTCGGTGCATGAAACCTTAGGGCCGATTAAAGTCTCCGAATTCGGAGCCCCCTTTGGTGCATGACACCTCAGGGCCGATTAAAGTTTCTGGATTCGGAGCGCCCTTCATGGATATCACGATTGGCCAAACTAAGTCTCCGGATTCGGAGCCCCCTTTGGTGCATGACACCTTAGGGCCAATTAAAGTCTCCGGATTCGGAGCGCCCTTCGTGGATATCACGATTGGCAAAACTAAGTCTCCGGATTCAGAGCCCCCTTTGGTGCATGACACCTCAGGGCCGATTAAAGTCTCCGGATTCGGAGCCCCCTTCGATGCAAGACACCTTAGGGCCGATTAAAGATTCCGGATTCGGAGCCCCCTTCGTGGATATCACGATTGGCCAAACTAAGTCTCCGGATTCGGAGCCCCCTTTGGTGCATGACACCTTAGGGCCGATTAAAATCTCTGGATTCGGAGCCCCCTTCGGTGCATGACACCTTAGGGCTGATTAAGTCTCTGGATTCGGCGCCCCCTTTGGTGCATGACACCTTAAGGCCAATTAAAGTCTTCGGATTCGGAGCCCCCTTTAGTGCATGACACTTTAGGGCTGATTAAAATCTCCGGATTCGGAGCCCCCTTTGGTGCATGACACCTCAGGGCCGATTAAAGTCTCCGGATTCGGAGCCCCGTTCGGTGCATGACACTTCAAGGCCGATTAAAATCTCTGGATTCAGAGCCCCCTTCGGTGCATGACACCTTAGGGCCGATTAAGTCTCCGGATTCGGAGCCCCCTTTGGTGCATGACACCTTAGGGCCGATTAAAGTCTCTGGATTCGGAGCCCCCTTTGGTGCATAACACCTCAGGGCCGATTAAAGACTCCAGATTCGGAGCGCCCTTCGTGGATATCATGATTGGCCAAACTAAGTCTCCGGATTCGGAGCCCCCTTTGGTGCATGACACCATAGGGCCAATTAAAATATCCGGATTCGGAGCCCCCTTTGGTGCATGACACCTTAGGGCCGATTAAAGTCTCCAGATTCGGAGCCCCCTTTGGTACATGACACCTCAGGGCCGAATAAAGACTCCAGATTCGGAGCGCCCTTCGTGGATATCACGATTGGCCAAATTAAGTCTCCGGATTCAGAGCCCCCTTTGGTGCATGACACCATAGGGCCAATTAAAGTCTCCGGATTCGGAGCGCCCTTCGTGGATATCACAATTGGTCAAACTAAGTCTCCGGATTCGGAGTACCCTTTGGCACAAACAAAACAAAAATAAGACGCAAATAAGGTGCTTAACTAAGCATATAAAAAATTCAGAATAAGACGCAAATGTTCGAAATAAAGCTTTTTATTCGATCAAACAGTTGTTACACAAACGCAACCTGCATTTGAGCATTACAATTTTTATTTAATCACACAGTTGTTATATGAATGCAACTTGCATTTGAGCATTACAATACCCATTTCCAAGCTCAAAAGTTAAAAAAGGGAGAAGACACATTGGTAAAGCGGCAGCGCCGAATCAACTCCCGTCACCCAGAAGCCCTCCGCGGTTTGCAATACCTTGAGCCAACTGTGCCCAAGTCCTCCCCTGACACCATTGACAATGTCAAGGCAAAGATCCAGGACAAGGAAGGATAAAAACCCAACGGTTGTTGCCTTTCCTTTCGGGGTGATCTGCTTCGACGACTTGAAGATTCATGCCAACTTTTGCACGCCCTACTTCCCATACGGATGGGTCCTCTGCCGCGCTCCATGGCAACACCAAGATCAGCTGAACTCCAGTCTCTAACTAACATCCCCACTTATCCCACCACACATGAGTGATTGTTTATTTGTGCGAAGCGCCCACTCCTTTTATTTTCAATACTGGCACCGATCTCGAGGCCCCAATCCCGAGGCGATTTCACTAACACTAAACTCCATGAGAAAAACGTCGGTTGACATTCGCCACGGCGTAGTTATCCAAACGACTGGCCGAAAATCTAGGCCCCGAGCTGAGTTGAATTTCCTGCAGCCACTCTACCCACTGGCTTTCGGCTTCCTCAAGTTACAATAGCCTCATTCAGGGATAAACGGCTATCACGTATGGGTCGACCCTACCAATCAACGTTTATACATTCATTCAAACATATACAGTAAAACGAAACCCATACACACCAAATACGAACTGCAACAAAATATTTATCATAGAACGTTTTTTATTCGATAAAACAAGCAATATATTACATAGTTTTGAACGCGATCTGCGTTTCAACCTTACAGTAAGTATACTTGTATGGCATCACCCTTATCCTCACTCTTCTCGACTTCAAAAGCAGAAAACGAAAAATGTTTACTGTGGTAGAGTAGCGATGCCGAATCAATGCCCGACGCTCGAAGAGCTTCTACGGCTTGAGATGCCTTGATCCAACCGTGCCTAAATCCACGATTTTCACATCGGCAAACTTCTTCGGCAAGTTTTTCCTTGGTCTTTTCGATTCCAACTTTTTGGTCGTCATGAAAACCTTTCTCATAGGCCCTCCCCTTCGCGTTCTCTATTGCAAACATACTTGTCGTCTCACGATCGGCAAGCGCGGAACTGATGAGCCGACTGGTAACCCTTTCTTCCACGATTGGGTTTCCGTGCCCAGCGGGTTATGCCTGGGCTGCCTTGGTCTTCCTTAACTCGCGCTCAGCCACCTCCGCTCGAGCCTCCAAACTTCGAATACGTTCCTCTTTCTTCTCAATTTCTCGGCAGGCAGCGTGCAACCGCATGCCGATTTCATAGGCAGTGTAAAGCCCCATTCACCGCCCCGTGAATGCCTTCGCAAAATACTTCGTAGTCTTGACGACCTACCATCGATTGCTGAACCTCAGGAGGAAAAATTTGTCGAGCAAACTCGACCGCTACATTTGGGTCCCGAACGATCGAATTCGCCTTTGTCATGGGTCTATTCCCCACAAATACCGCAAAGTTTAATGGGCACGGATTCAAGTCAGATCCCTTCTCGACTCAAGGTTCAGAAGATCTGCCCTGTGACTGCTTGTCCCGCCTGGGCGACCTGCTTCGACGTCGAGGAGACTGACGCCTCTCTTGATCCCTGGAACTCCTACCCCCTGTGCGTGAAGGGTCACCACCTCGATGCATGTTTCCACCCAGCTCAGCTAGCGTCCTCGCTTCCCCTCTGCTGTTAAAGAAAAGTCTGTTCGACATTCACACGATACCTTCAAAAGCTAGAGTCAGTTGTTTACTGTATTCATAAAAATTGTACCCTTAATCATTTATCCTTTACAGAGGCAGCACCCTCGAGGCAATTTCATTAGTTGTGAAAACCTCAATCGCCCAGCGCCGACTGGATAGACCCGCCGGCACCCGAATGATCATGCACCGCCTGGGGCAAGGGCGTGACAGATTAATCAATCTATTCGGCTTAGGTGCCCCAGCCGGCTCATGAATCGACTTCAGAATTATTATGCGCTGCCTGGGGCAAGGGCGTGATAGATTTATCAACACATTCAGTTTAAGTGCCCCAGCCGGCCCATGAATCGACAACAAAACTAAGTTTGCCTCCTCCGGCACCCAAATGATCATGCATTGCTTGGGGCAAGGGCAGATTAATCAATCTATTCGGCTTAGATGCCCCAGCCGGCTCACGAATCGACTTTAGAATGATCATGCGCTGCCTGGGGCAAGAGCATGATAGATTTATCAATACATTCGGCTCAAGTGCCCCAGCCGGCCCATGAATCGACAACAAAACTAAGTTCGCCTCCTCCGGCGCCCGAATGATCATGCACCGCCTGGGGCAAGGGCGTGATAGATTAATCAATCTATTCGGCTTAGGTGCCCCAGCCGGCTCATGAATCGACTTCAGAATGATTATGCACCGCCTGGGGCAAGGGCGTGATAGATTAATCAATCTATTCGGCTTAGGTGCCCCAGCTGGCTCACGAATCGACTTCAGAATGATCATGTGCCGCCTGGGGCAAGGGCGTGATAGATTTATCAATACATTCGGCTTAAGTGCCCCAGCCGGCCCATGAATCGACAACAAAACTAAGTTCGCCTCCTCCGGCGTCTGAATGATCATGCACCGCCTGGGGCAAGGGCAAAATAATCAATCTATTCGGATTAAATGCCCCAGCCGGCCCATAAATTGTTTCAGAATAATACCAACGAACTATTCGGCATACAAATGATAAGATTGCCATGATATTCAATCACAGAAAGGTCAACAGAGTAGTCATTCTAACTAAAGTAGTGAAAGGCAAACATTCTACACCAACATAACATCACAAACTGCGCATTAGTAGTGAAACAAGAAAATAATTTTCATTAATAAATTGAGCGCAGACAGTAGCCAATTTATACATGAAAACTACTCAGAACCAACAAAAGTCTTAAAAACAAAAACATACATTAAAAGGGAAAGTATTTCATAAAATTCAAAAGACTCCCAGATCAATCCTCGGGGTCAGACTCAAGTGGCTCAACGTCCACCTGCTTATAAGGAATTGGCAAGGCCAATGTAAACCCAACAGCATCAAGGGCCTTGAGCCACCTGTGTTTGAACCCCCGATTCTCGAACTTGGGGACTTCATCTACGTATTCTTTGAAGGTGGTGCCTTTTCCTGCTTCGAATGCGGCAGAAGCCTCAGATTCTGCCTTTTCCTTGGCCGCCTTCAACTCTGCTAACTCAGTTTTCATCCTGTTAAGCGCCTCCTCGACTAGCCTAAACGATTCTTTGCTCGCGTTCGCCCTATCTTCGGCATCAGAACGGTGCTGATTGGCAACCCGAGCCCTTTCCACTTCGGCTTCGACTCGCGCAGTCTCCATAGCTGCCCTCATCATCTCAAACTCAACCCTACTCTTTTGATCGACCACTTCTGACTACAAACGGTCAATCCTCTCAAGGGCATCATAGAGGCGGCGGCCCAAGTCGGCGATCCTGCCGATCGTTTGCAAAATGAGTTGGGATCGTTAGATGCCATAGGCAACCAAAATCAAAACAAGTCAAAGTTCACCTACCAAAAGGGCCGACTGCGCAGATAGGGCTATGGCCACCAAATCCGGCACGACATGAAAGGATGCCTTTTCAGCTGGTAGAGAGACTGACGCTGCCAGGCTCAAGGCTACCGCCGGGTCGGTAATGATGGATGCATCAGAAGGAATCAACGTGTCTCTAATCTTTGGTTGAACAATAAAAGGAACAACCACGTCCGATTCTTCTAAGCGAGGCCTTTTGTTGGCAAGACTATCTTCTGACCCGACCTCTCCCTCGGCGCTACGCTTCTTGCCCCACTCTTCCGGAATCAACCGTTCATCAATGATCGGTTGTTCAACCTCTTTCGCCGTTTCAGCCGCAACAATCTTAGCCGGCTCTTCAATAACGGGTTCGGAAGACTCAACCAAGGCAGGTCCAGAATGGGCGGCCCCGGCCTTTTTTCGGGCGGCCTATACGCTCGGAATTTTTTTTCGAGCCATCTGCGTGAGGCTTTCCCCAGCCATACTTCAAAAAAATCGCCGGGTAAGTCTCCAAACCTCCAAAAATATCTCCAAAGAAAACTCCGCCCGACCCGAAGTGGACGACGAGGTAGGCTGACTACATCTGGCTGCCTCACAAACGCCGAGTTTAGGGCCTCGTCAACCTCTTCGGCCTCCTCAGCGAACTCTCTGTCTGGTTCGGCGACTACCTCTACCGCCGGCTCGACGTCTTGCCCCGAGTCAGAGGCTTCGAGACCAACTTGTTTGAGACTCTTGAAGCTAGGGAAGATAAGAGCCGCAAGTTTTCGATCGCCGGATGGAACTGGAATGTTGTCAGTGGCCGAAAAAGTAGTGTAAGTAGGCTCGTATCGAAGAAGTATGTGGGCCGCTCTCCCTTGCTTCTGTAAGTTTGGATGGCCGAAGTATCCGAGTGCAGTCGCAACCTGCGCAAGGATTGTGTCGTCAGTAGAAACCAGAATCTTCTTCAAATTACTTCCTGCAAAGCCAAAGGGTTAGACACCAGGGGAAAGCTGAGTAAAAGAAAAGTTCAATAAACACAAGGAGACACACGGTAACCTGGTTCACCCCTCCGTCTGGGAATAGGTTCTAGATGATCCTCGCCTTCACCAAATTCCCAGTTTCCTCGGATATTGACCATTACGTCATCCATATGCTTGCCAAAACTGGCGAGCATGGTTACCAAATGATGGTCAGTATCCTTGGCCCTAAGAAAGTACCGCCCAAGCCGACCGGAAGATTTGGCTAAAGCATAGCAGTGCCGAATGGCCGGAATCTCAAGATCGATCCTGAGGCGCCGGGTCAACTCTACGATCCCCATTACGATTCGAAAAAAGTTCACGTTGGGTTGAGAAGGAATCAGACCCCAATAGCGGAGGACGGCCCTAAGGAATGGATATAGGGGAAAACGGACCCCGCCCTCTGCAATGGATAGGAGAGGAAAGACGATTGAATTTTGATCCTCTCTCCCCATATCCAGAGTGTTGTCTGTCACTAGAGATAGATGAACATCGTCGGGGATGGAAAAGTGTCGTCGGAATTCGGAGACACGACCCTCAGAAAGGAGGTCTTTCAAGTGTTTGGCCATTTTCACGGGGAATAAAGGGTTCACCAAAATGAAAATAACAAACAAAAAGTAAGATTGCAAAGAAAAGAGAAGAAGACTTACGAGGAGCAAGGGAGACGAGGGTAGACAGAGAAAAGTTGCAGAGAATGCGAGTCAGAGAAGGGATATCTGCTGTCGGTCCAAGAGTCTCGAATACTCGATGAACTGTGCATTCGAAAGGACTTAAATTTCAAATCATAATAAATGCGAGACGCACGATTGAGGCGGGAAAGCGTAATGATGAACGAAAAGGTGTGCGCATCCTACATCTATATTGGGGTACGCGAAGCTGCCTGACCTATATTAACCTTTCCAATTCAAGACCAAACACGCCGATTAACTTCCGTCAATGGGGAGTTTGGGGGGCAATTGTGGGGGCCGAATACATGAAAAAATCAGATGGTGCGTACCATTGGAAGACTGATATTAACCAGCTATATCCTACGAGAGTGGGGAGCCGAATATAATATATGTGTTGAATAAGTGTAAGTCCTTAGGGCCGAATAAAAGAAAGGACAATGATTAAAAAGTAGGCCCTGGCCCCGAGGATCAAAAAGAATAGGTATAAATACAGGAACAACGGTTGTAGAAAGGTATGTAAGAATCACTTCACAAAACTTAGTAAAGAAGCTATCCTGAGTGTCTGAACTAACTTGTCCGTCGGAGTGCTAATTCCAGCACCCCCGACCGGAGTGTTTGTATCTTTTCAAGTGACTAGCTGAGGATCACTAGCGTCTCCTAGGATCTGAAGAGTATTTCCAAACCACTTCTCCACACAACCGATCACTGTGAGTAATATCTAACAAAGATATCTGAAATATGTTATTATCTAATTGCTTACGTCTATGTAAGTTTTATAAGATTCGTTGATTCGATTGGTGGACAATGTTTGCTATACCGAATGAATGGGCCAGAGGCCGTTTTGACATGAATGAATGGGCCAGAGGTCGTTTCGACATGAATAAATGAATGGGCCAAAGGCTAGTTTGACATGAATAAATGAATGGGCTAGAGGCCAGTTTGACATAAATGAATGGGCCAGAGGCCAGTTTGACATCAATGAATGGGCCAGAGGCCAGTTTGACATGAACGAATAGGCCAAAGGCCGTTTTGACATGAATGAATGGGCCAGAGGCCGTTTCAACATGAATAAATGAATGGGCCAAAGGCTAGTTTGACATAAATGAATGGGCCAGAGGCCAGTTTGACATGAATGAATGGGCCAGAGGCCAGTTTGACATGAATGAATGGGCCAGAGGCCAGTTTGACATGAAAGAATGGGCCAGAGGCCATTTTGACATGAATGAATGGGCCAGAGGCGGCTTCGACATGAATAAATGAATGGGCCAAAGGCCAGTTTGACACGAATAATAGTTTGACATGAATAATAGTTTGACACGAATAATAGTTTGACACGAATGATAGTTTGACACGAATAACAATTTGTCATTTGAATGGGCCAGAGGCCAGTTTGACATCAATGAATGGGCCAGAGGCCAGTTTGACATGAACGAATAGGCCAAAGGCCGTTTTGACATGAATGAATGGGCCAGAGGCCGTTTCAACATGAATAAATGAATGGGCCAAAGGCTAGTTTGACATAAATGAATGGGCCAGAGGCCAGTTTGACATAACTAACTGGGCCAGAGGCTAGTTTGACATCAATGAATGGGCCAGAGGCCAGTTTGACATGAACGAATGGGCCAAAGGCCGTTTTGACATCAATGAATGGGCCAGAAGCCGTTTCGATAGGAATAAATGAATGGACCAGAGGCCAGTTTGACATAAATGAATGGGCCAGAGGCCAGTTTGACATCAATGAATGGGCCAGAGGCCAGTTTGACATGAACAAATGGGCCAGAGGCCGTTTCGACATGAATGAATGGGCCAGAGGCCGTTTTGACATGAATGAATGGGCCAGAGGCGGCTTTGACATGAATAAATGAATGGGCCAAAGGCCAGTTTGACACGAATAACAGTTTGTCATTTGAATGGGCCAGAGGCTAGTTTGATATGAAAGAAAGGACAGGCCGAGGGCCAGTTTGTCATTTGAATGGGCCAAAGGCCAGTCTAACAGGAATGAAACTAATGAATTGGGCCCGAGGCCGTATGATGCGTTTGGAACCGCGGTTACTTAACTTACTTATGTCTATGTATGTATGTACTAGTTAGAACTTTAAATTGGGCCCAAGGCCGTTTGATGTATATTGTTCCAATGTGTATTATTTATTTGATATAATTCACTAGGCTTTCGCTCATGCTCATTCATGTGTTTGTAGGTGAGCCAAGAGAGGTCCAGACCCAGCCTCAGTGAAGTCTGTATGGAACAACCAAAGTTTTAAAGAGTCAGCCCTTGCGTCTTACGCACGAGACACGTTTTCACCCTTTTGCCTTTCTGTGTATTTTGTCATGTTGGCGAGGACTTCGGTATACGTCTGTGTATAGTTTTGTTTGGCTGACTTAGATTTGAATGATCTTGTCTGTACAGAACCTTATCCCACTACACTTTCTGTGTGATTTATTAACATATGTAAATGTGGAACGTTATGATGTGCATTTAAGCACGACTCTATGGTCAAGGTTTTAAATTTGCTTCCGTTTGGCCCCCTTACTCTAATGAGTTTTGTCTTATTTGGTTTGAGGCCGTAGGTAATCTCGTGATTACTGGCCGGTTATGGCCTTAACCCATAGGGGCGGGTTCGGGTCGTGACAGAGTGGTATCAGAGCACGAGTTAATAACTCACACACTTGTCCAAAAGAGCGATAAGCGTCTAGATAAGATCTAGGATGCATTCATGTGATAAGTATGCAATCATCTGTTACGTATGTGATTAATTGTGCCTTGACGATACATAAAATGGGAATATAACAATGTGCCTATGTGCGAATGTACATATCTGTATCTGTGTTTATTTTTGTATTGGGCATCCCGGTATTTGGCAAGGCTTAATAAGAATTTGTGTAGAACATGGATAAAGTAAGGGCATACGAGTTGGCAGACTCTTCCACTGCCAGACTTCATAGACTGCAAAGAATAGTACAAGAGATGGCAAAGATTTTAAGACAACAACGTCAGTTGCCACTACGGCAAGAACCTTTGCCACCACCAGTGTAAGAAACACTGAGGAGTTTGTTATCGGATTTCTAGGGTTTGTTATAAGTGTGGTGAAATGGACCGTATGGTGAGGAACTGTCCCCGGACTGAACAAAATGTGAATAAATCTTCTGC